AACTCACCACCTGGAAAGGGGTGGGGGGTAGTGTGTGTGTGTGTGTGTGTGTGTGTGTGTGTGTGTGTGTGTGTGTGTGTGTGTGTGTGTGTGTGTGTACCGTCATTGCCCTGGCTGCCCTCTCTCTTCAGCATCTGCACCGCCCCCACGTACTTCTTCAACTGGACCTTCAGGACCTCGTTCTCCCTGCACAGATAGAAACACACACACACACTACCCCCCACCCCTTTCCAGGTGGTGAGTTCTTGTGTGTTAAGCCAGTTGTCATGAAGCACACGCCATCAGCCTGTTCAGCTCTGTGTCTCCACTCGACCACCGCACAGACCCATTCACTCATTAGAGCAGACACGCGTCCGCCGGCAGCCTCCGCCCTTCCTGTCAAACTTAGTTTTACAGAAACACACAAGCTCTACCTCCACATGTGTTGGTGGTCGCAGAAGTGTCGTCATTCCACTGCCATTCCCTTTCTGTAATGTAAATGATGCTATAAGACGGTTCAATCAAGTTTAAATAAGTTTTAATCAAAGTTTCACTTCATTTGCGAAGTTTGGATGAAAAATAGGCCCATCTATTATCTATAAGGGTATCGTGTTTGTGTGCACGAACTTTATATATTCACTTTATTTATATATTTTTGTAATGCAAGGAACAGTTAACGCCCCGTTTAAAGCTGCACCAATCTCTTCGTGGTATGCAGATCAAACTACGAGGACATAAAACTCGACTGAAAGAATTAATAACTTTTTTGAAAGTGATACATTATTTTTGCTAGGATTCTGATACTTTAAAATCCCACATTTAATAGAAATACGTCGTCAGTCATTGTATCTTACAGCTAATAGGGTTTCATAACTGTGCATACTTTGAAATAAAGAGGGATGCCTTTAGTTTTACGCACTTGTTACACCAGATTTACTTTTCGCTCAACATGTTTGATTCTGATACTGTCCAATTAAAAAACGGGATTAGGCACCCTCGGACATTATGACCAGAGACTGTAAGGAGCTATTTTGTTGTGAAATTGACTGACTTGACAGCAAATAAAGCGTGCGTAAAGTGTGCGTAAATGTGCGTAAAGTTGTTTCATTTGATAGCTCCCTCTCGCTTTTTTCTCCAACTTTCTACTAACCACACATTGAAAGCTGTAACCAATGTCCCCCCTCCTTTGAATACACCCGAAATAACAAGACAGAGAAAATAAATTAAGTAGCAAATCATTTTATTGTTGGACTAGAGTGTAGAAAATATGCTTATAAGACTTTTCCAACATCAGTTTATGTGAAAACAATAAAGAGCTGGCAGTGTAAAGAGACAATGCATGGCCATCGCGCTCGGTTTGGACAATAGCTGCATACGTTTTGATCATTGTGAACTTCATAACATAATGCAATAACATGGTTTTGCTATTAAATAAGACACATTGGTGCTAGAATAAAACTTCGGAGTGTCAAACTCCTTCTGGAAACCTCATGAACAGAAGAGCCAGAGAATAATAGACTACACGTCTATAGGCAGGAGGTATAGAATCAACTTCGTAATATATAGACAAAATATATACAAAAGGATGTGTACAAAACATCTATAAATCTCTTACATACAAAAATATCTTAATATATTTCAAAAAAGCGTTTGATATAGACATTTATAGAATAAATCCTCGACTTGGAAGCATTTTCTGAATTGAAACGTCTGCGAGGTTTACCAAAGGGTTGGAATTCTGTGATTGGATTTAGCATAGTTAAAGAGCCACGTATTAAATAATGTCTTTAATGTGAAGAGCATGATTTCACTTTTTTGTTTATCATGGGCACAGAAGCTTGGATTCCCACGCTGTCAGGAGACCCGTCTTCCTTTAATCCTTTGGCGCTGATCTCCGGCCTGATTTCCACAGAGTTTTTAGGACTTTAAGGCCGTGTTTGTCTGGGAGAGCCTGGGGTAACCCGGGACGAAAACACTTTTACAGTGCGTCTTGTTCATGAGGACAGCCTGCCTCCTCCGGGACCATCCCAAGCGCACCTCCACAGTAAAGTGAGTAGATCTATACATCTGAGGAGAGGAAGGAAATAAAGGTTAATGCAGTGTTCAGGACTGTTATCTTGAATCATCTATAATCATGTATGTTATACATTCTGATATGAACTTGTCTTACCTATTATAGATGCTCAGAACCAGTTGGTGAAGTCCAGCAGCTCCTGCTCCTCCGGACTGAGGGCGTCGTATGAGCCCTCGTCCGATGAGTACGAGGACACCGGTGAACCTGCCATAGAGTTCATGTCAGCGGTGTATCCCTGCGACATGGCGGGCGACAGGACGCCGGACTGAAAGGCTGCGCTCACCGCGTCGTGTTCGTCCAGCAGCTGCTGCAGTGCCCGGATGTACTCCACTGCTGAGCGCAGCGTCTCCACTTTGCTCATCTTCTTGTTGGCGGCTCCGTTGGGGACGTGCTCGCGCAGAGTAGCGAACCCGTTGTTGACCAGCTTCACCCGGTTACGTTCCCTCTCGTTCCTCCGTGCCACTGCGTGCGGCTGCTGCGGCGGCAGACTGTAGCCAAACCCCGCGAAGTTCAGTCTTCGCTTGCACCGCAGCAGCTCCGGGGAGGATGAGCGCTGCCTCTTGGGCTGCTTGGAGCCTGACTTCCCGCTGCTGCTGCTGCTGCTGCCGCTCGGGCTCAGAGGGACGCTCTGCGCGGAGGAGAAGAAGCAGGCAGGCGGCATCAGCTGCTGCTGGCTCATGTTAATCTCCATCTTGGCTGTGTAGTCCATTCCCAGTAAAAACATAAATAAAAAAGATTCAGCAAGTCTTGAGGAGGTGCGTCCCGCTCGTGCCGTTCACGTGTTGACGTGTGCTTGTTTCAGTGGGGGCAGTCCTCTGGGATGATGCCTCGCGCACTCCTCAAAGCTTCTCTGAGTCCTCGAGTTGAGACGCCACTGCTTTTCAATGCGTCTGGATGTGGGACTGGCCACGCCCTCCGGTCGCGTGGATTCACCTTGGGCTCCTGCCCCGGTGCCGGTGCATTGCGCGCGCCGGACGCGTGCCACTTGAAGCACTAAACAAACAGTCAGTGGTGAGTTGTTTTCTTTTCCATCTCAGTGTGTCAGTGAGGTGAGCGGCGGAGCGGAGAGAAACGTTTCCAACAAAGTTTTAGGACAAGAGGCAGTACAGAAACAACATCAGTGTTTGTTCCAAACTTTTGTGTTCATTTTAATGCGTGAATTAAGTCAGACCGTTTTACACATTTTTACGGGTTATATTTCCAGTTTTGTAATTATTATTTTTATCACTGGGCAATTTACGGAACCTTTGAGAAGATAGAACATTTGACCAAATATCAGCCCATCAGTCATCTGTGCTGAAAAGCCATAGTCATATGGACTTTTTTTAAGTTAACATCAGGACTTCCTTTGTTTCACGGTGCTGACGTAGACCACTTTAAGTTTTAGAGATGTTCAGAGAATTCACGAATTACGTTTGAAAGTCTCATGTCAACAGGTGACATCAAAACAATCACACCAAGAGAGTGTATTCAAATAGATTCTGATCATTTATAGAAAAATAAAGGGAAAGTGTTTTGAAGAACAGATAATAAATTGTTTGGTGTATTTTAAAATGTCCCGGTTCCTCTGAGTAATAGAGCTTAAGAAATGAGGATCTGTGCAAATAATGTGCATAATTCATATTAAAAAGTAAAAAATATGTTTATCCTCTATCTTTAGATTTTTCTTTGCAGCTGTGGACCAGGCCGTGGTGCTGAAAGAAGTCTCGTCTCTGCTAAACATCCAGATTTGACATCGTCCACCACCACGCTCCTCATGCTGGAGTTTTTCTGAGAGCTCTCTATGTAAATCAGATGCTCGCTGGCGTTTCAACTAAAACGGGGTCTAATTTTATTGTTAACATTAGTCGCGTCTGAATACCGCTCATTTGAAGGACCATTGTGCACCAGAGGCCGAATTTTCCACTTTGATTAGAGCAGATCCTAAGCTTGGAACAGGCGGAACGGAGGGGTGCAGAACTGCGGAGGGGCCCTCAGAAGCTGTTGGGAGGGGCTTTGTGTATGATTTGATACACTCGATAATGTTACTGTAGCGTGGACGCGGAGTGTTCTGTCCATTATTGTCGCTTTGAAAAGTGCACAATGATAAAACACGTCTGTCAGCGCGGAACAAAACCAAGACCAAACTGTATTACCCTCTCTTTTTTTCAGTGTGTTTTATGTGTGTGTATGTGCGCGTGTCTGTGTGTGGGTGTGTTTGTGCCCGTGTATGTGTAAAGCTCTATAACGCATGAAAAATTAGGCTAGTTGTTTTTCTGTTTTTGCTTAATTTATCAGTTTTTGCGCATTAGGCTCTCCCCAATCCGCGTTTCAAACATTTTTGAAATGTTGAAACCTTCCCTGCATGTGTACAACTATTGCATATGTGCGTGTGATTGTACGTGCCCGTTTGATGCGTGTAGGTGCAGTGACAGAGAATACCATCTCGCTTCACTTTCTGTACTTCTCTATCCGTGTGTGTGTTTCTGTGCGTGAGTATAATATATTCTGTGTGTGTGCAAGTGTTTTTCTACGCGCCCGCAAATTACCTCTGTTCCCCCTGCCCCTCTTTATTTCTGTGCGAGAGGGGATTGTAATAAATTGTGCAATTTTTCAGTGGCATTCAAAATCAAGCTTGCATTGAGGAACCCCCAAGCCCCCCCCCCCC